TCTGATCCTACAATTAACTTTTTAAATGGGGATTTATCCCCCATTTTCTCCTAAAAAAATACTTTAGGGTGCGGGATACTCTAAAAATTAATTTGTAACACTAGCTGCTATTGAAAAAATATTTTTGACTACTAAATACACTAAAAATTAATTAATTTAGGTAATTGACTGGAGAAATATTTCAAAATGCTGGATGTACTAAAATTTAATTAATTGAAGATGCTGGATAATATTGAAAACATACTTTAAAGTGCTAGATGCATTAAAAAATAAATTAATTTAGAATATTGGGTGCCATCAAAAAATTATTTTAGAGTGTTGAATATACTAAAAATTAATTAATTTAAGATAATGGCTTTACTGTAAAAATATTTTAGAATACTAGATGTACTAAAAATTAACTAATTTAGGATATTAGATGTTGTTGAAAAATATTTCAAAAACGAAATACAACTTAACCTAAAAAAATAAAAAATATAAATTATCTAAAAAAACAGAGAGAGAAGATGGGTTCATCCCTCAAATGTTGTCATTTGGGGGATGAATATGCCTGCTCAAAGTTTGCTTGGCAAGGTGCACACCCACATAAATGTTATAAAATAGAGGATATATTTAAAATTATTAAACAAGAAGGACTAATTCAATGGTTAATATATACGTATATAAACTATAGGAACTAATAGATTATTTATTTATTTATTTATTTTGCGATATATTATCATCATTACTTGCCATTTGAAGATCTTTAAGTAAACCCAAATAGAATGAAGAACTTCAATGATGCACCACATAAAGAAGGGGAGAAAGGAAACCTATATCAAACTTAAATGCTGAAATAAGCTTTATAAGTTTCATGTGTGAAGGAGTGTAAGGGAATATCATAGATCAAAAACAAAATTCCTCTTTGCCAATATTTGTGGCTTTTGATCGATTCATTTAATTTGGCAGACTATGAATGACGTGGTAATTTAGGAGTACTCACGAATTTTTTGAAATGTCCACAAGACAAATATAGCAAAACAATTAGCCAATTCACTTGGCATTCATACTATCATTTTTAACTTCCTTCTTTGCGCTTTCCGTTTTTCCTTTGGAATGATTATAGCATAAAAATAACTAAAAAATATTGGAAAAATTAACCTTTTTGGTCATTCAATTTTTAATTTAATTATGACTGAATCGATGAATCTTCCAATTATCCTCATGTGACTGAGTTGGCGAACTTTTAAATCGGTTAAAACTCAGTTTTTAATCTTTTCTCATTTAATAAATTAATTTTTATCCTATATAATTCACCTTGAGTCATCGCATAATCATCGTATGTGGCTTTCAGATAAGGTGAGTAAAAAATTATGCTTTCTCTCCAGCAAACTGATTGTGCAAAAATGCTAGTCACGTGGAGCTTATCTAGAAGTATACCTGGAAATACAGGCTAGCTCGCGGGTTGTGGTTTAGCCCGCCACAACCCGTGAGTTATACAGTGCGAGCTGGAGTAGCTCGCATTTTGACAGGCTGGAAAAATACCAATCCTAACCCGCGAGCTTGCCATCTTTTTTTTTTTTTTTAATTCTCAATTTTTAAACCTTATTTTTATTTATTTTTTTAAATTAATAAATGGTGATCCAAAAATCTCAAAAGTAATTACAAGTATAAATTATATTTAATCACATTGAAAATAGTCAATACAAATATAACATAATACATTACAAACATTTTACATGATTAACATTTAACATCAACTCATCAAGTGATAAATTTTACAATTTTTTCATACAAATACCCTGTTTGATACCAAAAAAAAAACTATTTCTTAATAAATTAGAAGTACATTTATCTAATTTCTTTTTTTTAAAGTTCATTCATCATGTTTTCCTGAAACACTTTTTTCCTTAATAAATATTGTCTCATATTTAATTGTAGTTATTAAATTTTTGTTATAAATATAGTATGCTTATTTTTTAAAAATATTTTTTGTTTAGATATGCATTATGTAACATGAAAATTGAAATGTAAATGAGGGAAGAAAATTTTCAAATATAATAACCTATAATTTATGCAAAAAAATTTAAAAAAAAAGTGAGGGGAGGGTTAGGCGGGCCAACCCACCAACCCTCGAGTTAGCCCGCCACAGCCTGCAGGTTATGTGATACGGGTTATGGTAAAATGTCAACCCTAACTAGCTCTTTCATAGTGGGCTGGCCCGCGGGTCTCAACCCACATTCCCAACTCTATCTGGAAGCCACAAAGGATGATTATGTAATAACCAAGATGAATTATGTAGTATAAGGATTAATTTATTAAATAAGAAATGATTAGGGACTGAATTTTAATAAAATTAAAAGTTTAAAAATTGAGTGAGTAGTACTGAGTTGTACTTGGAGGACTAAGCCATCACTAAGTTAAAAATTGAAGGATTAAAATTAGTTTTCCCAAGACTATTTCTTATAAATAGGAACAAAAGGGAGCTGCTAAAATTTTCTTATAAAAATGGAAGGAGTTAATTTCTAAAAATGAAGATACAACCGCCTTCTATATTTATAGCTCCCATCATGCAAGATATAACTAAATATTTGTTCAGCTATTTTTCACGAAAACAAAAATGACATTTGAATTTAAATACTACCTCTTATCGTTAATATAAGATCTAGTTTGACTTTTAATTTAATCCTAAATATAAGATCTTAATTCACTTTGTCTCTCATATTTATCTATTTTTTTAAAATAGTCCTTGTAGTAGTTGTACATGTTAAATGTTTTATCAAATACACTTTATTAGCAAGAGTATTTTAGAAAAAACAATACCTATTTATTACAAATAACTAACTAAATTAATTTTCTTAATCTAGATTAACCACAGAAGCTAATATATCATAACAAGCCCCTATCTCAGTTTTCTTCAGTAGTTTAAATGCACAAGCGATTTTCATTACTCAGTCAGACTCTAGTCCACAGGTGGAACACTCGTAAATCAGTATTATTTAGGATTTGGATTTTAGACAAAGTACTAGTTCTATGAAGGGATCAAAATATAAATATCTATTAATGACTTGTTAAAGCATTATCACTGACTCTCTCATCCCTTATCCTGATTTCATACAATGTTCAAAGGAGAATTGCAATAAAATTTCATTGACTAATTTCAACCATTGACTTGTCATTAAAAAAATTTTAGTATTTTTTTCCATTTTTAAAACCTCACTATAATTCTCTCACTGTTCAACTCATAATCTTTCTTTGGTTTTTTTTTTTTTGGTTGGCTTCATGTTATACCCATAATCTTGAGTCACTTGATTATAACATTGGCGCAACCGAATCCTCATTTGATCTGACGTCACCTGATTCCGTGATGTACAACTGGTTAACAATATAACCCTAAACCGTTCTTTCAAATTAAAGTTGATATTCTCTGTAGACTTGGTCATAACTGCGTCAACAAGACTGTTATGGAGAGCGAATATTCTATACCTTATACTCCTCCGGTCCTAATTATAAGACCCAATTGACTTATTTGAGGAGATTAAGGAAGTAAGTTAAGTTGGTTATTTATAATAAATAAGTGTTGTTATTCCTAAAATATCCTTGCTAATTAAGTATATTGGCTAAAACTATCATTATTAGAAGGATTATCTTGGAAAAAAATGCATAAATATAAGAGAAAAAATGGATTGGGTCTTATAATTAGGACCAAATAAAAAGTCAAATTGGGTCTTATAATAAGGACCGGAGGAGTATATTCCAATATAGAAATAGGAACACATAATACGGTCTAACAAACTGACTGATTCATCACTCAACCATTTTAGCATGCAGAATATAAATTAATTCAACATTAAAAAAAAATTTATAATTTAAAATGACATTTATATTCTTGACTCTTGAGCAGCAGCAGCAGCTATAGATGTAATAAAATATTGTATATAAAACAACCACATGATGTCTCAAATATAGCCTAGATATGCCTACAGAAATTAAAGTTTGACGGAGTAAAGGGAATGTGTAACTTAGTCGTCAAAAATCAGCAACCTAAAGCAAGTAGCCTCAAATCGACAATCAAAGTTCAACAACTAATGTAAGCCCCCTCAACCACTTTCTGATTACAAGTTTTGTAGTTATGATGACAGCCTCTCTACCCATCAATCTTCACCTAACAAAACGACATTTTACTTATTTAGAAGGGAAGACAAAACAAGGATTTCATCAGGAACATAATTTCCAAATAAAACTTTTCATGAAAACTCACAAGTTCATCATCATATATAACCCCTATGTTTTTACCATTTAAAAATAGGCATTCAAAAATTAATGATTATTACATTTCGTAGGAAAAAATTGATATCTACCCAATAAAATTTTGCATCCAAATGTCAGGAAATTGGAGAAACTTTCGTAATTGGATCCTACAACTTGAATTTGAACTACAATGGAGTACTCTATACTGAATACTCATCATTTTAGCTCTGGCGCAGTTTTCCTATCACATTTATGTACTAAAATACAAATTCGTCTCATCTTTTTGGAATATCCAATCTTCCTAACTTGTTACTGACTCATTAACCAGAAACTGCCGCCAACAATCCACATTAACGGGAGTAAACCTATTACCTGTAACAAACAGCATCATCGGTGGGAGAGATTTATTTTCTACTTTCATTTCATTTTCCAACTCAAAATCTTGAGTAAATTAGCCATGGCTCAGAACGGGTTCATACAGATAAACAGATCAATCAAACATATTCATGCCAAAGGATTCAAATGTAATAAGATTGATCCAAGAAAAAAGTGCATCTCTAGCTACAATATTTGCATCAGTATGCAGGCAAACAGGCAATTCATCACCCTAAGAACAATGAAGCAGAAGGCACAGTTTGCAACATTCAAACCACATGGCAGTGCATGTCAAATTGAACCTGTAAGTACAAACTCTGTACAATAGGTGACAAAACGAATATAAATTATCAAAATTCCTAGAAAATGGTCTGAAACAAGAGCTTACAAGGAAAGACAGGCTCCACAAATAAGGAATATCGATTTGATCTCTCCATAAGACTGTACAATGGTTAACCTCGAATACCACACAACATAAGATGCAAACAAAGTAAGATATGAAGCGAAAAGCATTTACCAATATCCTAGTTCTTACTTGATACAACCGTAAGCCTGCAATCATATTCTTTTCAACAGCAAAACAATGCACTGCAGGTATAACATCTCCTTTGTATAAGGCACAAGGAAGGAAACATGAAAGATTTCAAAGGAGCACATAGACAACAGATGTGTGAAAAAATGACACGAAAAAAGGGGGAAAAAAGATGAAAAAAAATCACCAAGAACTCTTCTTCTTAGATCCGGAATAGAACTCCAGATACCACTGTACGAACTTCCTGAGTCCTGTCTCCAAATTAGTGGTAGGCCTATAGCCAAGTTCCCGGTGTGCCAAGCTAATATTAGCATGTGTGAATTTAACATCACCATTTCTTGGCATCGGCAACACTTTCCTCTTAGCCTTTACTTTTAGAAGCTTCTCCAATATGCTCACAAGCTCACTCACAGGCACTGGTGAAGTATTACCCAGGTTAAAAATTCTGAACTGTGCAGGCCCCTTCTTCTTCCCACCACTACCAGTACTTTTCTTGGCTGTATCCAAGGCCCCCAAACAGCCTTTCACAATATCGTCAATGTAGGTAAAATCTCTCGCAACTGTTCCATGACCAGGAGCCTCGAAAATTGTAATATGCTTTCCTTTAAGAATATCTTTCGTGAAGAAGAAATAGGCCATATCAGGGCGACCCCAAGGACCATAAACCGTGAAAAACCGCAAACCAGTAACTGAAAGACCATATATATGATTGTAGGTATGTGCAATTTCTTCACCGGCTTTCTTAGTGGCAGCATACAAACTGGCCGGTTGATCTGTTCTGTCTTTTTCCGAGAAAGGTACCTTGGAATTAAGCCCATAGACAGAGCTAGAAGACGCCCACACGATTGCAGGTTGCGGATTGGCTGATTTGCACACTTCAAGAAGATTCACAAACCCAGCGATGTTGCTGTGAACATAAGAATTGGGATTCTGCATCGCGAACCGTACACCCGCCTGTGCAGCAAGGTGCATTACATGGGTAAACGGTACTACATCGAAAAGCTTGTGAAGAAGCACCGAATCATTGATATCTCCCTCGACGATGAAGACTCCGGCACGATCAAGAAGCTTCTGGCGAGCGCGTTTGAGGTTCGGATCATAGTAACGGTTGAAATTATCTAACCCAAGGACGCCATCACCACGCCGCTTCAACGCCAGGGACACGTGGGTGCCGACAAAACCAGCCGCCCCAGTAACAAGCACAGTGAAACCAGAAGCCGAGCTCCTACGCGCCGATTTACTGACTCGCTTTTCCCAGGCGGGTCCGCCCCATGAGTCGCCAAGGGCACGGCGGGCGGGGGCGGTGGCGGTGGCCGGAGAAGAAGAACGGGAGACAAACACGAAGAAAAGGACGAAGATTAAGAAAAAGGAAGACCACAGAGTGAGCTTGGAAAGAGTAGAGTAGATCCTGAGGCGATGAAAGTAGGGAGATTTGTCGGTCTTGAATTTGCCTGGAGTGGATGGAATGTCGTCAATGTGTGAGGCTGTCTTGAGCTGGGACATTTTTCACAAATTCAAAAGAAAAAAAAATTGTGGAAAATGATAAAACCCTAGTTCCCGAAATTCTCAACCTGGGGAATCGAATCTCAGGAAAATTGGCCTGGGATTGAAGAGAAGAACCTTCCTCTGATCCTAAATTCCTGAAATGGGGTATCTAAAATCCGCAGGAAGAGAGGATTTTAGATTTTTCAGTTTCAGGCGTCAAACAGAACAGAGAGGCGGCTACGTTTTTATAGTGAAGATCTCAAGTCTACAGGGAAAGTCATCTGAAAAGTTTAGCTGCGAATACGCGTACACACCATGCCATACGACACAAGTTTACGAATTTATGAGCACAAGGGAGAGCGACCAAAAATATATATATATATATAATTATATGAGGTAAGGAAAACAAAATTATATAATAATAATAATAATAATAATAATTATATTATTATTATTATATTATTATTATTATTATTATTATTATTATTATTATTATGTGGTTATTGGTTAATTCGAATCAAAATATAAACCTGGTAAAAAAATGAGAATCAAAACAAAAAAATGCATAATTTTTTAAAATAGAATAACTAATATGACATGTTATTCTCATTTTAGCACATAAGAGTTAATTATCATATTTTAGTTAAAATATAGTAACACTGAAAAGAAAAATATATTTAGATATATTGTTTTGAAATATAACCATAGTCAAGCCAGATTATTCGTGTATTTTAACAAATTCAGTTCTAGTCCCAAAAAAAAAACAGTATTAGTTACTATATATGTAAATCAATTTTTTTATTTTTATTTCCATTTTATTAATATTAATAATGTCAGTTTGGAAAATCAAAATAATAAATAATTGATCGGATTATTATTTAAAGTTAGATATTAGATATTAAATAAAAAAATTTAGATGGGAGCGATTTAGTTATAAAATTAAAATTGGCAAGAAAATAAGATCAAATCAATAATCAATAGGTTAACAAAATTAATCCATTATCCTCACGAGTAGCAGCATTAAATGGTGGCAAATGCCAAGATCAACAAAAATGTATCTTTTATATTTCAAAATTGAGAGGTAAAAGAAGTCAGGCAAGGCAAAAAAAAAAAGGGTACAGATAGAGTGGAGAAAGAATATGAGTTTTTCTATAATGCTGTGTGATCCCAACTGAAAATAGCCTCCGAAGAAGCCTAGGACCAATCTTGGGGGCGTGGACCGGGGTGACAAGAGAGACCCAAGTACCAAAAGGAGGTAGGAGAATAGATAGAACTTGCCTAAGACTTCATAGATGGGTGAAGTGAAGGATTTGGAGAAGGCTACTGTCCTAAGCGGTAAGGTCAAGTGAATGGAGAGTGTTTTCACAAGAGAAATCTCTCTGAAGCACTGTGAGGAAGAATGAATGGATGGACTTAGAAAGCAATACCGATCAACCTAGAATGAAGAGCTAAATGTCGTGTAAGAAAGCATTTAAACCTAATTCATCTTGGGGGGGGGGGGGGAATATGACAAGGAGGAAGAGATATGGAACAAGAATTTACTATTTAGGAGAGATATAGAGCGTAACACAAGCATAATTGTTAGAAATACAGACGTGGGTAGATCATTGATCGAACCTAAGTCTTCTATGTTATTTCATATTGTTTTTAGGGCTTTTATTATAGCTTTTGACTCTTTTTGGTGATAATTGTGTTTAATTTAGATTAAGAGTCCTTGCTTTGAGTTAGTATCTTTTTTAGGATAAAATTGTTATAATTGGTTATTAATTATATTTAATTGATTTTTAGGACAATTGATGCTTCAAATTGATGCTTTTCATTGTAGGACACTTGAGAATTAGAGCTAAGATTGAAGACCAAGAGATTACACAACATGAGAACTAAGAGTATTGATTCAGGATGAGTTGGTCACAACATTGGCTGTGGATTCATCGTGATGAACAATCTGGATCAAGGTTAAAGACCCTCGGGACTTGGTGGCCGTGATGTTGGCTGTGCAGCGAAACCCTTCATATCAGTAACGTCAGATTCGGGTCTGAGCGTGAAAATGGAGTATCTACTCATGTGATCTGACCTAGATTAACCCCTAAAACCCTTAGAAACCCTATTTCCATCCAATCACTTCATTCTCTCATCTCAAACGCCTCTATTCTCTCATCTTCTTACCTTTCCATCTCCATCTCCTTCCCCATCCGTTTCCTTCACTTTTTCTTTATCTCACCTCATTTCCTTCATCTCCTAGCTGCTATGGCTGAAGAATTCACTTTGGTTGGGGTGATTTCCAAGGCTATGGTGGGCTAGGGTTTTCTAACTCTTGAAGATGGTGGAGTGGCATGAGTTTCCAAGCTTCAAAGGGGAGTTCAGTTTCAATTTTCAGTTTTTAGTTATGAATTTATGGTTTCCTAGGTTTAGGAATTATAATTCTTAGTTAGACACTTGGATTGCTGCTGTAATCACTGTTTAATTATTTATAATTGTAGTTTGGATTGGTTAATATAGAATTTTGTGCTTTAATATATGTGGTTGCATATATGTCTCGTGTAATCCTCTTGATTCTCTCTTATCTTGCATGGTCATGTTTTGATATTGAGTTGATTTTTGGTTGCATTGAGCTAATTGCATTGATCATTCCCAAATTGCACATTATGAGAGCTTAACAGTGTTTTTATTAATGAAGCTTATTGATTTGAACATTAGACTCAATGAGTAATTGTGGTTGTTATTCAAGAAAACCTCATGACTTTATGAAACTCCAAATATCTTAAGCAAGTTATGATTGCCATTAAAACTATTTTCAAGAAGTTTCCTATCATCCATTTCCATTCTATCATTATTTTATCTAAAAATACCAAAAATATAATAGCCTAGGTTTATTTTCATTGCATATACTTTAGTCATGGAATTTTCCCTTTATTTTATAGTTAAAAATATTTTTAAATCATTATATTCTTAATTGTTATTATATAAATTTTTGTAAGATTATAATTTAAAATTAGTGATGGATTAGCGACGAAATAGAATTAGCCCCAAAATTAGTGACAAAAACTTCTGTGACAAACAGTTTAGCGATGGAATTAGCAATGGAAATTTTTGACAGAAAAATTCCGTCGCTAAATATTTATTGATAGATTTTCTGACGGATTAGCGATGAACAGAAATGCCGTCACTAATTCGTCACTAATATTAGTGACTGAAAAATTCTGTCAAAAAAATTAGCAACGGAATTTGCTTCTGTCACAAATTTCATCGTTAATTAACTGTTTTTTTGTAGTGAGCAGAGAATTCATCCTCACCTTTTCTGACTTTCTTGCTATTCTGATCAAAAGCATTAGATTCCTCCTTCGACGTGGGCGATTAAGGCCCCTCTCCACCCTCTAACGATCCTCCATTTGTCCTTTTCTTCTAGGTGAATTTTGACATAATGATGTTAGGCCCAAGCCCCATAGTTCGTCAAAAATGTATTTTTATATATTAAAAAGTTTTGAATACCTAATATTATGTATTTAATAGAAAAATACTTATATCAAGTTCCTTATATCTTTTATGTCAAGTTTTTTTAATCACACATGACCATATGTCCTATTTTAAAATATCAGTATTTAATAGTATTTAGTTATAAATTCATATGAAACAAAAAAAAGACATATTTAAATTGATTTAAGTTTTTCCCTATTTTAAAGTTTTCTCCTATTTAATATGTTATTTCCAATTAAATTAGAGTAAGTGAATTTTAAATTATTAATGATAGTAATAATAAGGAAAAATTAATCTTTTGGTCCTTCAACTTTTAACTCACAACTCAATTTCTCAATTATGGCTCGGTATGTCTTAGTCTCTGAACTTGTGACTCGCTTATGATTCAATCCCTTATCTTTTAATTTTTTTTAATATTATATTCTTGTAATTTACAGCTCAGATTGAGTCATCACGTGGTGTAAATGATAAAACACCCTGTCTCCAACTCAACTCCACGTAACACAAAAAGTAATGACAGGAGGAGTGGAGAAGACGAATGACCAAAAACATGTTCGAGAAAAGGTCAAAACAGGGGATGAACATAGACAAAGCCGAAAGACATACTTTCAACTTGTGTAACAGCCAAAGATATGTGATGTTGGGATAGGAGACATTGTAAACAAGCAAGAGATGAAATTGAGTTTTATGTAATAGCAGAGATTTTGTGTAGGTGTCAAGATGATTCAAAATGATTTTAATAAGATTAAGCTATTAAGGTCAGAAATGAAGGGGAGTCGGTGAGTAAGATTTTAAAGGAGATAATGTTTAGTTTTGAAAAGAGGCAGAGAGTATGCTTGGAGAAGGAAAGGTTTGACTGAGAAAATGGAAGGGTTGAAATTCAAAATGGGGAAGGGGAGACTGGTTCTTGGTCATGGAAATTACAGTGGGGTTCAAAGGGTGTGTTGAGGAGTCTAATTGCTAACCACTTCTATGCACATAGCTTCCTCTTGATTGACCCCTGATAATTTAATAATTTTCAGAGAGAGAAAGAAAAAGGGAGAGAGTGGGAGTGAAGGAAGTGAACTTGTGAAACAAACAAAAACCGGGCATCTTCAAGATCGGAAGAAGATCAATGAGGCCATGATATTACAGGGAGGGATGTCCGTGCCAATCCCAGTACAGCATGTATGGCTGCGTTTGTGAAAGGCTATGTTATTTACGCCTCAGCATTTCAGATTCTTCATTCGTCTTCTTCAGTTGTGACTTCTTGTGTTACATGGAGCTGAGCTGGAAACAAGGTGTTGTATTATTTATGCCATATAGGATTACTCAATCTGAACAGGAGATTACAAGGATAGTAATATAAAAATTAAAAGATAAAGATCGAGTCATAAACGAGTCAAAAATTCAGAAATTGAATCGTACTGAGCTATAATTGAAGGACTAAGTTAAAAATGAGTTAAAAGTTAAAGGATTAAAAGATTAATTTTTTCTAATAAAGACTTATTATACAATTAAAATTATGCATTTTGATTTGATTAAAACTAAGTAATTTAAATATATAAATTAAGTATATAAGTCTTTTCATTTTATTTATCACAAAAGGGAAGACACGAGTGCAGTGTTATAAAAAGATGACAACAATAATTGATTGAAATCAATAATTAAATTAATTAGACAGGTGTTTATATTTTCTCAAGATTTGAAAAATGTATCATATTATTCATGCAATGACATTTAATATGCATTTCACATTTAATATTACTAACAGTATCATTAGACAAATAACAGTAGTTACGCTCCAGATCGGACCGGTCAATTGAAACTAGAAACTATG